GAGACCGCCTAAATCAGTTCGGGAGATGCTGGATCGAGCTCATGAGAAGGCCAATGCTGAGGAGGCCAACCGCTTGAAGAGCGCTCAAGAGAGGCAGAGGGACGACAAGCGCCGAAGGATAACCGACCAAGGAGACGTGCGACGTGACCAAGGGCGGAAGACTACCTATGACCACCCGCCTAGAAGTCGGCCATTAGGGGGGGACAAGCCTTGGACTTCCCTCACAGCCCCCCGGGCTCGGGTCCTTGCGGTGATGGAGCAGGAAGGGCTTTCCCGACCTCCCCGACCCTTGGCCGGAGACAAAAGCAGACGGGATCAGGACCTGTACTGCGCTTACCACCGAGACGTCGGACACGATACTGAGGACTGCCGACACCTCAAGAAGGAGATCGAAAAGCTGATACGAAGAGGCCATCTCGGGCAGTTCGTCCGTGACGGACGCGCGGATCAGAGGTCAGGGGGGTTCAAGCGAGACCGGGCGACCAGCTCGCACGACCGACCTCGAGGTCCCCATGATCGGACTCCGGAGCAGGGGGTTCAGAACCTGGCCGGGGTGATCAACACCATCGCAGGGGGACCTGCAGGGGGAGATAGCCATACAGCTCGGCGGAACAATCGGCCTCCTCCCAGCGGGGAGAGCTCGAACAAACGTTTGAAGATGTACGAGGAGATCGTCTATGGACCAGAGGACGCGGTACCTTTAGCCTCCAACAATCATGAGACAATTGTGATAGAGGTCATCACGTGCAACTACAAAGTAAAGAAGGTATACATCGACAACGGGAGCGCCATCGACGTGCTGTACTACAAAACTTTTAAAGAGTTGCAGCTGGAGGACAAGCAGCTCATCCCAGTTCGTACTCCCCTGATAGGCTTTGCAGGTCCGCCCGTAAGACCGGAGGGAATGATAACTCTCACGGTCACTATTGGGGAATCACCGAAGTGCCGAACTATTCCGGTGAACTTCGCAGTGGTAAAGGAGCCGTCCTCCTACAACATGATACTAGGGCGTCCAACCTTAAACGCACTCCGAGCTGTCTGCTCAACTTTGCACCTCAGCATGAAGTTTCCAACGTCTGATGGGGTGGCCGAGGTACTGGGAGACCCGGAGGTAGCACGAGCCTGCTATATCGCCACCCTTAAGGGTAAGGAGAAGCTGGTGGCGCAGACAGTCCTTCTGGAGCCCTGGGAGCCTATTGAGAAGGAGGAGAGGTTGGAAACGGACGAGAGTCTGGTTGAAGTGCCCATTTGCCTAGAGCGACCTGATCGAGCGGTCAGGGTCGGATCGGGCCTAAACGAGCCAGCACGGAGAGCTCTGGAGTCCCTTCTGGAGGAGTACGAAGAGATCTTCGCTTGGAGTGCAGACGATATGCCCGGTGTCCCTCCCGAGCTGGCAGTCCATAAGTTGCACGTAGATCCGAACGCCCGACCAGTAAAGCAAAAGAAAAGGAATTTCGCGCCTGAACGGAATGAGGTCGTCAAGGAGGAGGTCGGCAAGCTGTTGGAGGCCAAAATTGTGAAAGAGATCTACTACCCGACCTGGCTAGCCAATCCAGTGCTGGTGAAAAAGGAGGACAGGGCGTGGCATATGTGCGTAGACTTCACCGACCTGAATAAGGCATGTCCCAAGGACTGTTACCCCCTCCCTCGCATCGATCAGCTGGTCGATTCAACTACTGGCTGCGAGATTTTCTGCTTTCTGGATGCCTTCAAAGGATATCACCAGATAGCCCTGGACGAGGAGGATAAAGAGAAGACTGCCTTCATCACAGAGTACGGTACGTACTGCTATACCACCATGCCATTCGGATTGAAGAACGCCGGCGCGACCTATCAACGGCTGGTCAACAAGTTATTCAAAAACCAGATCGGCCGCAACATGGAGGTATACGTTGATGACATGCTGGTGAAAAGCAAAACTCAGGAGCAGTTCGTCAACGACCTCAGAGAGATCTTTGACGTCCTACGGAGCTCACGGATGCGCCTGAACCCCAAGAAGTGTACTTTCGGGATCAGGTCGGGCAAATTCCTTGGGTACATGATATCCAAGGATGGGGTAAGAGCTAATCCCGACAAGGTAAAGGCTATCATGGACATGGCTCCTCCCCGAAACATAAAAGAGGTCCAACGGCTAGCTGGCAGGATGGCGGCCCTGAGCAGGTTCTTGTCAAAATCTGCAGTTCGGGGTTCCCCCTTCTTCAGGGCCCTGCGAAGAGGTCCCCAGTTTGAGTGGACCCCCGAGTGCCAGCGAGCATTCGACGAGCTAAAAGCCCACATCGTTCGGTTGCCAGCCTTGACCTCTCCCGCACACGGAGAGATCTTATTTATCTATTTGGCAGTAGGGGAGGAGGCAATCAGTGCGGTGCTAGTTCGGGAAGAAGGCAAGGTCCAGAAGCCCGTATACTATGTCAGCCGAGCCCTGCAGGGCGCAGAGCTAAGGTACACCTCGATTGAGCGGTATGTTTTGGCATTAGTTCACGCGGCTCGGAAGCTTAGGTCGTATTTTCAAGCCCACCCCGTGGTGGTTATGACCGACCAGCCGCTCAAACAAATTCTTTCTAAGCCTGATGCGTCAGGGAGAATGGTGAGATGGGCTGTGGAGCTGTCTGAGTACGACCTCAGCTACCAACCTCGCACGGCCATCAAGGCCCAGGCATTGGCGGATTTTATAGCCGAAGGGGTCTCCTTCGGGCAACGGGAATCACAGGTCGAACGGACCAGAGACACAGCTAAGGCCAAGCAGGTCGGAGAAGCTGTCGAGGTCGCGCAGACCTCCAAGGCCCAAGACGCAGCCGAGGCCAGTCAGGCCGAAAAAGCTGCCCGGGTCGAGCAAGCCACCAAGACTTCCAAGGCCAAGCAGACCATAGATACAGCAAAGGCCGAGCAGGCCGAAGGACCTGCCAAGGTCGGACAGGCCACAAGGGAAGCCCAGGCTACACGGATCGGAGACGCAGCGGAGGCTGAACAAGCCAAAGAGGCTGTCGAGATTGAACAGACCACTGGCAAAGTTGATCAGACCATTCCGACCTGGACACTGTTCGTAGATGGGTCGTCGAGCCAGGAAGGATGCGGAGCGGGACTTCTCTTGACTAGCCCCATGGGGGATGAGCTGGCCTACGCCCTGAGGTTTGATTTCAGGGCCTCCAACAACGAGTTCGAGTACGAGGCCCTGGTCGCGGGGATGGTGATAGCTCGGAAGCTGGGAGCCGAATCAATAGAAGTCTACAGCGACTCGCAGCTGATAGTAAATCAGGTAGGGGGAAGTTATGAAGTCAAAGAAGAGCCACTAAGGAGGTACGTCGCAAAAGTGCATGAGCTGAGAGCTCAGTTCAAATTTTTCATGCTCAAGCAGGTCCCGCGAAGCCAGAATAAGAGGGCAGACGCACTGTCCAAGCTCGCCTCCACCTCAGTAGGCACATTGAACAAAGAGGTCCTGGTGGAGGTCGTCAGGAGTCGGGCATATGATCAGGTAGATGCGGCCGTTATTCAAGTAGTGAGCTCCTGGATGGATTCCCTCGTGCGATACCTGGCCAATGGAGAGCTCCCCTCAAGTCGGGTGGAAGCACGACGGATCCTTCTTAAATCGCGGGGATACGAGCTCTCGAATGGGGTGCTTTACAAGAAATCTTATCTGCGTCCATGGTTGAAATGCGTGACTCCGGAGGAAGGAGAATATATCTTGCGTGAGCTGCATGAAGGTATCTGCGGGAATCACGTCGGACCAAGAGTTTTGGCCAAAAAAGGAATGTTGTCTGGATATTACTGGCCCACTATCTTCTTGGACTCGGCCGAACTAGTAGCTCGGTGCAAATCCTGCCAACTACACGCTCCGATCCACCACGCCCCAACTCAGGAGATGGTGCTTATTCAGAGCCCTTGGCTTTTCTTCCAGTGGGGGATAGACCTGCTGGGTCCGTTCCCCCGAGCTCCTGGGGGCTATGAGCACGTGTTGGTGGCTGTGGACTACTTCACCAAGTGGGTGGAGGCCGAGCCCCTTACCACCATCAGCAGCAGGACGGTTCAGAAATTTCTCTGGAGAAACATTGTTTGCCGATTTGGTATACCTCGGGTCCTAGTCTCAGACAATGGACGACAGTTCGCAGACAATTCTCTCCAAGGTTGGTGCACAGAGCTCGGAATCCGGCAGCACTTCACCTCGGTAGGCCATCCCCAAGCCAGTGGGCAGGTCGAAAACGTTAACAGGACTATCCTGCATGGTTTGAAGACGCGGATGGAGTCCGCTCGAGCTGGGTGGCTGGACGAGCTGCCCACCATATTATGGGCCTACCGAACCACTCCCCGAACTGCCACGCAGGAGACCCCTTTCGTTCTGACCTATGGAGCGGAGGCTGTGATTCCTGCGGAGATAGGCGTGCCTTCGGGCAGGGTTCAGAAATTCATAGCTCAGGACAATGAAGACGAGCTGCGTCTTAACCTGGATTTGCTGGAAGGAAGGAGAGAAGAGGCGGCTATACGCATGGCTAAATATAAAGGACAGGTTGCGCGACATTACAATGCTAGGGTGAGGCCTCTATCCTTCAAGCCAGGGGACCTGGTCTTGAGGAAGAACAGCGTAAGTCGGCTCCAGGGCACGAGCAAGCTGGATCCAAATTGGGAAGGACCCTATGTGGTGAAAGAGGCAGACCGAGCTGGATACTGCAAGTTAACTCACCTCAGTGGGGAAGAGGTCCCGCGTACTTGGCACAATTCCAACCTGAGGATTTTCCGTTAAGCTCGCGCATGACAGTTCGTTTCAAGGTCAAGGCTTTGGTTAATATTAACGTATTTGGCTAGTAAGTTACTTTCATGGAGAATAGCTCATTTGGGTTGGCATAGGGCCGAACTGATGTGTCTTATTGTGAGAAACCTTGCGAATGCGATTAAGTATAAAGTAAAAGGAAGGCTTTTCATTTCATTCAATAAAAACTGTACAACGAAGAGCAGAGCTCATACAAAACAAACTGCCTACTGACAGTTCGGGTTCTACCCTAAGCCCTATTCTAGTTTTCACCCTCCTCCTCCTCCTGCTCGGATTCGGGGGTGGTCACTGGCAGCAGGGGGTCGGCAACCAGGTCGGTCAGCTTCCGTCCGTGCGTGTAGCCCTCCACCAGGCGGTCGAGCTGCTCCACGGGCAGGGGGTTGTAGCTGGGAAAGTTTCCCAGATCGAACCCGGGCAGACCTAACCCTTGCACTTCCTGCAGGGCCTGGGAATACCCGTGCTGCAGAACGGGGGTATTCAGGATGGCCAGGTCGCCCCTGAATTCCTCGGACCGGAGGAAGGTCCGCACGCCCTCCTTGCTTCCCTCAGCCCTGGCTGCCTCTGCCTGAGCGGACAGCCCAGCTGCCTTCTGCTGTTCCTCTTTCAGCTGGGAGGTCAGCTCGGCGTTCTTCTTCAGTTCTAGCTCGAAGTTCGTGTGGACTTGCGCGAGCTGCTTCTTCAGACCTTCAGCTTCGGCCACTGCTGCTTCGTTCTGGCTGAGCAACTTCTCGTTGGCCGTCTTCGTTTCATGCAGCAGGGGAAGCAGGCTTTCGTAACGCCTGGCCAGCTCGGACCCAACCAAGTTTACCTGCGCCGTTCCTGTATAGAAGTAGTTGAGAAGGTCGGCTGGCTCCATGGCCTTGGTCAAGTTGTAGTCCCGTGGGAGGATGGCCCCGTGAGCGAGCTCCCGTGCCACCTCGGGGAACTGAGCTCGGTCATTTATGGAGAGCTTCCACTGGGGGCAGAAGTGCATGGGGTGCTGGTGCGTCGTCAGCCGAGTCTGGGGATCGAAGAGCAAGGAGCTCTGGCGTTGCCACAAGTTAGGAGGAGCCTCAGCTCGGGCTTGCTCCTCGGTTGAGTTCACGCCATAGTGGCCACCCTGAGCAGTCTCAGGTGTCGACCTCTCCTCCCGAGCTGGGGACGAGGGCGTTTCCACCCTAGCTCTCTTGGCAGTTGTCTTCTTCTTCTTTTTCTTCCCCGCCTCAACCGCCTTGGAGGATTGGGCAGGAGCTAGTTGAGGTATGGGAGCTGGCACCGAGCTGGCTGGGATGGCCGAAGGAGTCTGCGTGGCAGCGCTCGGGTTGCTGGTGCCACCGATGGACAGAAGTGAGGAAAATCGCTTCACTGCACAAACAGGAGGCCAAGAGATCAGTAGTTGAAAAAAAAAATGATGATAAAAGAAAATGGACGGAAGGTCAGGATGGTTACAGGCGTCCAGCTCGTCTGTCGAGAGTGGCCTATCCTCTATGGAGGGATCCGAAGAGCTAGCTCGGATCAACCCCGCCGCCCAGAGCTGGTTGTTGCTGAGCTCCTTCACGTCCAGCTTCGCGTCCGAGCTGAGTAGGCGGCTAAGCTCGGGCACGGGGAGCGGGGACGGAAGGGGATCTGAGACTTGAGTCTCTGCCCTCCAGGTAAGGGGAGGGAAGCCTAAGTTCCTAACAAAGAAGAACTGGGGCTTCCAGTCCTTGATAGAAGAAGGTGCCCCCGTGAACAGCTCGCGGGTGGGGGTTTTCGCTCCACTTCGCCGGGCAAAGTAGAACCACCCAGGCACCTTCCCGCTGACCTTCATCTGGAAGAAGGCTCGGAACAGGTCAAGAGAAAAGGGGATTTCGAGTGCTCGGCAAAGGATGAAAAAGCCTATGATGGAGCGAACAGCATTGGGGATGACCTGAGTTATGCGAATGCCCCAGAAGGTAAGGATAAAGAAGAGGAAATTGGGAATGGGCAGACGGAGACCAGCCATCAGCTGGTCCCTGTAGATCGCCACGAAGCCAGGAGGAGGTCGGCTGGCGACCTCCCCTGGGCGGGCGGCCCTGGGCTCGAATTGGGCCGGGATTTCATATTTTTCCGCCAGCTCGTCAACGTCTTTTTGCTCCAGGGCTGGGGGGATGGTGTCGACTTCCCCAAAGTCGCCACTCGGCCCCCCCGAGGTCCCTGCCACCATCTGATCTGGAGCTACCTGTTCAGCGGCTTCGACCAGAGGCTGGGCAAGTTGCTCGGCTGGGTTCATTATTCTAGCAGGAGACGGGTTGGGAGAAACTATGGGTTCTGGACCAAACGAAATAGAAGGAGTAGAGCTGAGGGAACCGGAGGAGCTGCTGTCTAAGAGTATGGGGCTAGCTGTTCTATGCCTATGGGCTGAACTGGTGACGTCAGAACTATCAGAACTATAAGAAGACATAAAAAGGAAAGGGGGACTTACTGATGGAAGGCTGATCTAGGTAATGCACGAACTGGCTCTGGACTCCTAGGGCAAGGCAACCCGACGTGTTCTCGAAGGAAAAAGGATGAAGCAGCGAACTAAGGAGTGAAGGAGCGAACTGAGAAAATGAGAGAAGGAGAGTGAAAATGACGCTTGGAGGATCCTATTTATAGGCGACGACAGCGTGGGAAAGCGAAGGGGCGCGCATTTATTCGAGCAGTTTATGGGGAACCGTTCCTGACCGCCATAATTAGCCGAGATGACGGTTGAGGTGACAGGCGCGAACTGACGCGACGGTTGCTTGCGCCCCTCTCTGACAGGGGTCCCACAAGGAGCTGACATGACCTCCTGGAACTCGGCCTAGATTCACGCGCACGATCGATGACTCTAGACTTGAGGGGGGGCTAGTGTAGTGGGGCCCACGTGCACGTCGGCCCGGCCCGCAAGCTCGGCTAGTAGTAGGTTCTCGGCCCAGCAGGTCGGCTTGGGGGCCCAGAGGGCGCGGTCTCCCCAAGCAGATGGGCCGCGCAGGCCGCAGAGCCCAAGCACGCCTTAGCTGAGTTATGGAGCCCTAGGGAGAGTTCTGCTCCCATAAGGACTCCCTGTTCTACTAGAAGACTACCTTTTGTGGTCCTATAAATACCACGCATGGGAAAAATACAAGGTACGCTATTCATAGCACAAACTCTACTCTTTTACTTACGAATCTTCTTCTGACTTGAGCGTCGGAGTTGCTCCAGGGGACTTAGCCCCGCAGCTCGTTCACGTGCAGGTCGAACGCTCCAGCTCGCTCCCCAGGCACCGGGCCAGGTCGGACCTTCACTTCGGCAGTCGCATCACCTTCTTCATTTAATAAACAATTGATTAACAGAGACCTTGGTTCAGATGTCCAAACGGGCACCCAAGAAACCCCCTTTTTCAGCACAGCCAAATCCAATGCTTCCCTATTCTCATCATCATCAAACATTGATGATGATAACATTAAGGCCTATGATGTCCCGGATGGGGTGCCTGATGGCTATGTTTTCGCTAGCAGGCCATTGGAGGATATTGATCTTTTCTTGAAAGTGGCACCGGAGAATTTTAGGAGAGCTGTGGATGCAGCTGAACGGGACACTGGAAGGAGGGTCAGCTGCGTGGTAGCGGATGCTTTTCTCTGGTTTTCTTGTGAGATCGCGGAGGCAAAGGGGGTTTCTTGGGTGCCCGTTTGGACATCTGAACCAAGGTCTCTGTCCATTCATTTCTACACTGGATATCACTGTATTTCGCAGTTTGACTCCAACAATTGAACATGTTAATTAACAGATCGAACTACTTGATACTAAACATTTTTATGTTCTAGCAACAAATATGGCAAGTGATGTGATTTTAACAATGTTATCCTACTACATCTCAATATCCAAATCATAATAAAATTCAACATGTGATGAACCTAAGCATTTACCTCTGGGGTGAGACTCTTTATCGTTCAGCAAAGAAACAGCTGTGCAACTAACTAAAATGCATGACAGGTAAAGCAGCCACTGAAGGAACCTATATGGCGAGGCCGAGGAAAAGATATGGCCTCATGGGAGGTTCTTGCAACTTGATGTGACTGGTGTGATAGGACTGAGCTTCTCATTTCTTGGGCCTTCTTTTGTGCTGATCTGAGTTTGTTCATTATCTTGTCCATCGATGAAGATCTCTTCTTTTCCAGTTTCATCTGAACAAACCATAAGATCATCTCAATCAGGCATTCAGAGAAAAAATATCTGGTAGCATATTGGATTAATTTTCCAAAATCCTATTGGTTGTTCATTTCCATTCAGACGGTCAAAAAATATGGGTGCGCATGTAATCATTGAGTTGATTACAGGGCAAAACATGAAATGCTTGCTGTGAGTGTGTGATGTTGAGGAATGACTTGAAGCACTCTATATATCTTATGTAACAAGAGAAAACCTCAAGTTTCCGCGTCGCCGCCTCAGCTTTTGCTTCCCGCAAGTCCTCCCAAGCAATTACTGCAATTACTTTGGTTGGGGAATTAACACCCTCCCAATGTCAAATAACCGGCACATGCTCCTAAGACCGGCTACCCGTAGGTCCCGTCTGAAACTGACCCGGTTTTCTCATTCGCGTACACCCCTACTGTTCCAGAGTGTGTCATTTCACTCTTTTCTTTTGCCATTTATTTTATACCAACCAGTTCTAGAACTTTGTTAGAGGTTGATGATGATGTTCTGGTTAATATTTACCATCCTTTTATCAAATGCTAACTTGTTTGGATCTGTGCACTGAAATGCAGATGACAATCATTCAGGGGACGATAACCTGTACTACAAATTGGAACGATTTGGTAGTAAAACATTTGGTAGGTTATTTATAGATTTTAACTTTTTTAATGATTATTAAAAATTTTAAAATGTAAATGTTTAAACAAATGAGAATAACACAATCGATTATCAATAATCAGAATCTAAAATTGCACTGAGTAATCAAATCAAGTACAACCCTATAATGTGATTGCTAAGGCCATACGTGCAAGTATTTGATGGTTAAAAGAAATTAAGACATAACTATAAAACCTAACGAGAAAATAAAAAATTGATTAGATAAACTAATAAAGATTAACAATTGACTTTAAAGAATAGACGTGTTTCTGTCTTAAGGGTCATGCTTCACTAAAAGCCATTTATTCCTCGGCATCCAAATCTACATCCAATCCAATCAAATCTAGGAACATTGAACTATAACATCAAGAGTTGAAATGAAAAAAACATACAAAATTTAGTAGCGTTCAAACCATATTGGAAGACCCCATGTGGGACGTCCATTAAGGTCCTAACATTCGTTCTTCTTTTTTTTTCCTTCAAAAAAAAAAAACATTCGTTCTTTTTATTCAAGGGTTCTTTTGCAACTGTCCTGTGGAAATAGGGCATGGACCTCCCCTTCCCAGGTGCATCGTATTCGATAGTCATAACAATCTAATATATTTTCCTTTTATCCACAATACGGCTAAAGGAATATATATATATATGCAGAATTATATCTCCTTTCGTCTCTTTTCGTGTATATGTAAAGAATTTGAACATACGAGTCAATGAAGTTGGAGCCAGATCACGTGTTAGAAAATCCAAAGATTAAAAGGAAAAATTGCGAATGACATCAATAAAAGATATTTGCAAAGATATGTTTCCTGATAAATAACTATGGCCACGTATTTACTCTCTGCGCAAATGCATGTGTACTTGTAGAGATGATCAATTAGCCAATTATTATTTCTAATAAGGTGGTTGGTTGGATTGGATTTTGGTGGTCCATTTGCAAATTACAGAAAAAAAGACAACAAAAAATCCATTGGCCAAAATCCTAAATTCCCTCTTATTTTGTTAGTTCGTCACCGATTTTGTCTACCTTATGTTTTTAGCGATGAGGATCTTCTTCTTCTTCTATACAAGTTCCGTGATTGATTCTCGTATGCTATCTCGCTGTGTATTCTTGGAGCAAGACTCTACATAATTTTAGAGAATTAGTCTGGTAGAAAGGTTGGAATATCCCTAAATGAAAAAAAAAAAAAAAAAAAAACTAGAGACGTGACAAGTGTTACTTAGGTCAAATTTATCGAATAACTGTGTAGAGATTTTTTTTTTTTTTGGGATTTTAGCTTGAGCACCAATTGTACATGTATCTATATTATGACGACTTGGGTCCTTCACCGTTTAGTAGTTTACTGCTGTAATTTATAGAAATTATCGTAAAGTACGTGCAACTTTGATGCGGTCACAATAAAAACCCTTACCATGCAACACTTGAGTCCTCCAAACCCAGCTTGTCAGTGATGGCAAATTGGCTAATTGTCCTTTAATCAGGTATTCAGGATGAACTTTAGATTACAGCTTAGATTCTACTAACTTGAATCTCTGTTAAGTTTTACTAACACATTTCGCCATCTTTTCATATTTCATATTTGTAAACATGGAAAGCTATTGGTGTACTATTGACCAGAGGCTGTTTTTTTAGGCATTGATCATGAATAGAGGAAGTTATTCTAACTTATCGTTGAAAGTATGCTTGTTTTCACATATATCATATGGGTTCCCTTATTCAGTGTTTTACGAGCACACAATAAGAAAATGAGTTCGGTATGTTTTTTTTTTTGGGAGAAAGAGTAAACTTTTACCACGAAGTTGCAGATTATGTAATATATCTCTATTTGATTTCGCCAATGAAATCAAATAGATATATACACGAATTTAAAAAAAAAAACTATTCGCATACATGATCAATGATAGGTAAAAAAATTCATTTTAAAAAATATGAATGATGAAAATTTTCATTTTGCAAAATATGAGGGATTATAAATCAAATTATATAAAATTTGATTTGATAATTTTGCCCTTAAAAAATGACCACGTGCATGTGGTGGATTTGAATTTACTGTGCTTATGTGGTGGGGTTGGTTTAGTGAATATTGGGCAAAGGCCCAAAAAGGAAAATGTTAGGGATGCAACCTAAGAGTTAATGTATGCTGTCCATCTCAATAGGAAAGGCCTCTTAGGTGGTTGTAAATACTTTACCAGACTAATGACTGATGGACTTATTTGAGCGAAAGCCCTCAAAGTGCAATTGACATGGCTGGTTCGTTACCTTTTGGGCCCACAACAGCAGGCAGCAATGAAGCACAATATATATATATATATATATATATATATATATTAAATAACAAGAATGAAGAATAAAGTTCAACTTAACCATCGAGGTTGCCTCATTAGCTAGGGGAAGGCTCTCATTGAAGGTTTAGAGTTCAAATTTTGAACCTGACAGTTGGA